GCATTTTAGGCTTCAACATCCCCAACCGTATTTTTTCTACGTCTCTAAATTTACGATTGGTTTGACCGAATTCTGGTTTGGTGGTTCTGCGAATACTTATGCTTTTTTCACCTGATTTGATGTCGAATATGAGATTGCAATCATCCTCTGTGACGCGCAATTCTCTTCCTCCAATCTTGAATACTCTGTCCTCTTTGTTGTATGTTTTCAATATGAGGACTGTGCCTATTTGTGTCCCTGTGACTTGCGAGATGGATATTTCATGTTTGGCAAACGGTAAAATTAGCCGGTAGAATGGCGTTCTTTTGAGGCATTTGTAGTGCGCTTTTCGAAGACTGACATTTGCGAAGAAGTCTACTGTTGAGTGTAGGCTGGATCGGAATTGTCGGGTCCAGCTGCCTTGGTCTAGTTCTATTTGTGCCATTAGGTTTGATTCGGCTGTAAAGTACGTAAAATTGTGTAATTATGAGAAACATAAAATACGCAACAAATATTGATAACAATTAAACATATCATAGGCATACACATAACTACACAAGCACGCATAACTAAAACTGCAGTGTAGTTAAGCGACCAACAATTCATTTCTAAAGTAATGGTATATTAATACTCGTTCTACAATTAATATATAGATTCATAACAACACAAATTTTATATTAGCATACTATCTCAATTCATAACATCTCGGTCTGAATTTCTTCTAAATAACATCTCATTGTAACAACGAATTAACACAGCATGCTGTCAGACTATTATAATATACTATCAGATTTATCAACCAAACATCACATACACAATAGTATCTTGACAAAATGTAAAACATCAAAATACCCATGAGATTAATTATATTACGGACAAACACCACACTATCTAAGACACATAACCGACTATTAATATCCTAATATACTACCGGACTTCATTAACCAACTATCACATAGATTCGATTTAATCACAATGTATAACATGAATAAACCCATGAGAGTAATTACACTACGGACAAACAGCACGCTATCTAAAACACAAATCTGACTACTAATACCTTAATGTACTATCGAATTTCATTAACCAACTATCACATTCATCGATTTAATTACAATCTATAACATGAATAAACCCATGAGATTAAATACACTACGGACAAACAGCACGTTATCTAAAACACAGATCCGATTATTGACGTTTTACTCGACTATACAATTTTCTTATATGTATCAATAGGGGATATCAATTGCTCACCCGCGTTTAGCAGCATAATGTCATCTGCCATTTTCGATGCTTCGATGACTGCAACATTTTACTGAGTATGTTAGATAAGCAAATATATACAGATTATCCGAAAAAAAATCTCAAATAGACTATCACGTCGCAGTTAAACATAAACATAGTAATGGGTGACCTTTTATGGTGGTTGTCCTGCCCATCAAAAGTTGAAAAATCAGCGATTGATTGCTCGAATTTGGTATGCGATTATAACAGATCTGCAATTATACAAACGTGATAGTCGATTTAGCCAAAACATATCAACAAATCCATGGACGATATAGATGCAACTAGCGAAGACGTACTTATGGGTTTATGCTTGCTCGGAGTGCACATAGTCGTCGTTTTGATACAGTATTGCAGATATCTTCCGCGGTCAATCGGCCGTTCCGGGAAGTGGTTGTGGGAGGTTATGCAGTTTATTTGATAGTGGGTTTAACCGGAAAATAGGAAGGGATTTGATATTATTTCAAAAAGTAAAGTAACGGGATTTGTGGGATTTGATTGAGGGTAATTATGTAATTAAGAAAAGTTTGGGCTTTTATCAAAATGGCAAATTTAAGTTTGGGTCTACCCCTATTTTTTGAATGTTTAAGGGGTTATATCTAATAGACCCTCTCTCTCTCAATATATATATATATATAGATATATATATATATATATATATATATATATATATATATATATATATATATATATATATACTTCAAATTGTTGGGAATGCAGAGTTAAAAACTTAAAATTACCATACCACAAGTTAAAAAACCAAATGCAAGTATGGAAGAACCTCAATCAAAATATCTGCTATTAACCAATAGGGTTTAGGAGAGGTTTTGAATTCCCTCGTCTCCAACTTCATCTTCTCTCTCTCTCTCCTCTCTCTCTCTTCACTGTAACACTCTTATCTACATTAAAAAATCAACACTTCTCACTTAGCACAATTGAACCTTCAGCTCTGGCTTCCACCGCCCCATTTTCGCCGAGTCCCAGACCTCAATTCCAGCAACCCTCTTCTTCTTCTTCTTCATCGCCGCCATGGAAACCCCACAAGAACCCCAATTTCATTTCCATGTCAACCCCGGAAGCCCCCATTTTATCGCAGAGCCCCCAATTTTCATCTTCCTCCTTCCCTCAAAACCTCAAGCTCCCCTCCCTCCATAACCCCGCCCTCCTCCTTCCGCCGCCTGTCTCCGACTCCTCCGACGACAATTTCCGGGGAAACCTCGACAAGGTCGCGACTTTGCAGGTAATACCCAATGGGTTCCCCTCGAATTTCACGAAGGAGTCCAAGGATAGGGTTTTCATTCAGGACCCACCTTGGATTTCCTCTCTCTTCATGAAGAACCTGCTCTTTAGGAGCAGGAATCGAGGCGGGGTCAAAATAGAATTTCAAGAAATGGAGAGGCGGAAGTACTATTTACTGAGGCGGCGGCAGGTGAAAGCCGAAACCGAGGCTTGGGAGAATAAGGTGGAGGAGTACAGAGAGCTGGAGAGGGAAATGTGCGAGAAGAAGTTGGCGCCAAATCTGCCTTATGTCAAGAAATTGATTCTGGGTTGGTTCGAGCCTTTGAGGGAAGCTATTGAGAAGGAGCAGAACACGCAGAGGTCGAAGAAGAACAAGGCGGCGTTTGCGCCTTTTATCGACGCGTTGCCTGCAGACAAAATGGCTGTCATTGTTATGCATAAAATGATGGGGCTTTTGATGATGGGAGGAAAAGAAGATCGGTGCGTGCGCGTGGTCGAAGCTGCCGTACAAATTGGGGTTGCGGTTGAGAATGAAGTGAGTGCCTCGGAATAGCTAGAGATTTTTGTTTGTGTTGATTAATATAATAAAATACTAATCTATTGTAATTGGGTTTTGTTTCCTCAGGTTAGAATCCACAGTTTCTTGGAGAAAATGAAGAAAAACGAGAAACGAGAAATTGGAGACGAAAGTCAAGTAGATTCGAGTAACGAAGCTGTGATAATGAGAAAACGTGTTAAGAGTTTAATTAAACGAAACCGGGTGATTGAAGTGCATAAGCTCGTGAGAAGTGAAGAATTTAAGTCGTGGGGTCGAGATATACAGGCTAAGGTTTTACAAACCTTCCCATATCAAAATAACTTATTAGCTATATTCGTTTTAGCGTCCGTATTAATAATTATAATTCTTAGTCGGGAGTAACTTATATGTTGTGCAGTTGGGATGTTGTCTTATTGAGTTGTTAACGCAAAGTGCTTATGTGCAACCTCCAGTCAATCAGTCAGCCGACAGCCCACCCGATGTTCGCCCTGCGTTTAGGCACATATTCAAGATTGCAACGAGATTACCGGGGTGCGAAAATATTAATTCAGATGCAATTTAATCTTGTAAAGATTGCTAATTAAATAAATTCGTTTAGTGTCGCTAATATGTATGAGTTTAATCGAGGCGATTGTTCTCTGTCTCTTTCAGGCAGACCATTGTGAAAAGATATGGAGTCATAGAATGTGATCCTCTGGTTCTTGCTGGGCTCGATAAAACTGTGAGTTCCGTTTTTATACTACTGTTCTTGTTAAACCCGATTACTTATTTTGCAGCTCTGTCAAAATTTCTAATCTTATGGTTTATGCAGGTTAAACATATGATCATTCCTTATGTACCGATGTTGGTGCCACCAAAAAAATGGAAGGGGTATGTATATATGTTTCGCCCCTCGAATCACAGTGATATATATATATATATATATATATATATATATATATATATATATATATATATATATATATATATATATATATATATATATATATATATATATATATTAGGGCTGCTCTGTATAGAACCATCTCTCATTTCAATTATCTTGTGACGTACACTCAGGTATGACAGAGGCGGTTACCTATTTTTGCCTTCGTACTTGATGCGTACTCATGGCTCACGGCATCAACAAGATGCTGTTAAAACTGTTACGTCGAAACAAATGCAGAAAGTATATGAGGTAGAGTTGGATTATGTTTGCGTTATCTTTTGTAAAGCTTTCATTTTTGCTCTCGGTTCCTTAGTATATGATTTCTTACTTGTTAACAAGTTCAAACACAATTTTTTTTTTCTCTTTAAAATTTACGACTAGCTTTTGTTCTAGTGAGATAAAACAGCAATCTCATTACAAGGTTCTTTTGTTTACAAATAGTTTATATTCAAATTTTCAGGCCCTTGATACCTTAGGAAATACTAAATGGAGAGTGAATAAACGCATCTTAACTGTGGTGGAGAATATTTGGGCTGCAGGTGGCAATATTGCAGGTCTCGTAAACCGTGAAGATGTAAGTGCACCTTTAATATTATTCGTGTTATATTTTATTTTTTTTGGTGTTTAATGTTCTTAATAGCTATGATTTATCTTAAACTATTGTCACGGTGTAGATTCCGATTCCGGAGCTTTTGCTCTCTGAAGATATGAAGGAAGCGAAGAAGTGGAAATGGAGTGTGAGGAAGGTGAAGAAAATCAATCAAGAGAGACATTCTCAAAGATGCGATACTGAATTAAAGCTCTCTGTAAGTTCTTCGTAATTGTCAACTGGTTAAACGTCTTGGTTCTGCAAAGTAAAACGAAATGCAGATTACAAACACTATTTGTACCGCTCCTCGATTTTTAATCTTGGTTAATATTTCAAATGTTTAGTAAGAAGCAAACGTTACTGAACGAAAGTGTATGTTATCTTCTTGGATATAGTGGTTAAGCTGTTGTTTTACTGCCAAAAACAGAGTTAAAATTAGATTTAGAATTTGAATGTTGGGACAGTTCGTAATCGAATATTTTGGTGACTATAGTAATATGATAAAAAAAAAAATGAAGTATTAAATTGAAAATAAAAATGACTACATTGTCAAGTAAACTAAATTTGCTAGTAATTAATGTTGTTCTTGTAACTCAGGTTGCTCGTAAGATGAAAGACGAAGAGGGTTTTTACTATCCGCACAATCTCGATTTTCGAGGGCGAGCATATCCTATGCACCCACATTTGAATCATCTGAGTTCCGATCTATGTAGAGGAGTTCTTGAATTTGCCGAAGGGAGGCCATTGGGAAAATCTGGTTTACGTTGGTTGAAAATACATGTAGCAAATCTATACGGTGGAGGTGTTGAGAAGCTTTCGTACGATGATCGAGTCGCATTTGTGGAAAATAATATATCGGAAATATTCGATTCTGCCGATAATTCTCTCAATGGAAATCGGTGGTGGTTGAAGGCTGAAGACCCTTTTCAATGCTTGGCCGCCTGTATTAATCTGGTCGAAGCATTGAAAAGCCCGTCTCCACATACAGTCATTTCCCACTTGCCAATTCATCAGGTATTATTATTACTATTATTTTTATTTATTTATTTATTTATTATACCTCTGACTATTTCTTGAAAATTCTAATTTTCATTATAATTAAGTTTTTTGTTTTCAATTGTAGGATGGGTCGTGTAACGGTCTGCAGCATTATGCAGCTCTAGGAAGAGACAGTGTATGTTTGCGTTGTTTTTAAAATTAATTTGGTTTATTTAAAAAATTCGTAATATAAAATTATAATATCACTCTTTAATGAAGTTGTGCTGATTTTTCAGTTTGAAGCTGCGGCAGTGAACTTAGTTGCTGGAGATAAACCTTCCGATGTTTACTCGGAAATTGCAGAGAGGTCTGTTTATTTTATTGTTTCAAGTTTATGTGAAAATAATTGTTAATTTGCTGGTTTTTTTTTAATTAATTACATTTAATTTTCAGGGTTCATAATATAATGAAAAGAGATAGTGAGAAGGATCCTGAAACTGATCGACATGCTTTGATAGCCAAGGTGTTAATCGGTCAGGTGGGCTTTCCTCTCTCTAAATTCCTTTCGAAATAGTTGGTCGAAAAATAACCGAAATTTATTTTTATGTTTTTAAGACCTAAAAATTTGGAAAATATTTTTATTATTATTATTTTTTTGTTTTTTTAAGGTGGACAGAAAACTCGTAAAACAAACAGTGATGACATCAGTATATGGTGTAACTTACGTTGGTGCACGCGAACAGATCAAAAGACGATTAGAAGAGAAGGGTCTCATTACTGATGACAAGCTTCTCTTCAGTGCAGCTTGTTATGCTGCTAAAGTAAGTGTCGTCCTCCTTTTCTTTTATTTATTTTTATTTTTTATTTTTTATTTTTTATTTTTTATTTTTTATTTTTTATTTTTTATTTTTTATTTTTTATTTTTTATTTTTTTTATTTTTTAAGTTGTTGTGATTTGTTTCTATTTAGTATTAGTACATAAAAGAAGTTGATGACAGGTAACATTGGCAGCACTTGGGGAGTTATTTCAAGCTGCACGTGCGATAATGGCTTGGCTCGGTGATTGTGCTAAGGTTTTGCTTCAAAACAATCCCCATAATATAGCGTGATTTTGCCACGTCTTGTAAGAATCAAACAATTTAATGATTTTCGGGTTTTTTTTTTTTTTTTTTTTTTGAAATTTACAGATTATTGCTTCGGAAAATGAACCTGTACGGTGGACAACTCCACTTGGCCTTCCCGTCGTACAACCATACTTTAAATCGCAGCGTCATGTAGTAAGTTTTTCTGATTACAAATTATGCTAACATTAATAATTCTTAATTGCATAATCTAAAACAAATTTTCAAGAATTTGTTAATTTGAACTTTGGTAGCTGATTTAGCTCGTGTTAAACGCAGATAAGAACTTCTCTTCAGGTTTTGGCTTTACAACGTGAGGGCGATTCAGTGAGTTGAATTAATTCTCTCCTTTATTTTTAAAAATATTCGTCGTTGCAATTAAAAAAATTCATGAAAAAAAATTAAAAAAATAATAATCGAACTCTAGGTTGAGGTAAGAAAGCAGAGAACTGCATTCCCTCCAAACTTCGTACACTCGTTGGATGGTTCACATATGATGATGACTGCCATTGCTTGTCGAGATGCTGGATTGCGTTTTGCCGGTTTGTTTTTTACAAATTTTGAATCCATTTTTTTTATAATATTTTTTCCTTAATTTTATGTATTCGATAAACGTTACAGGTGTGCACGATTCATTCTGGACACATGCTTGCGATGTTGATAGAATGAATCAGATACTCAGACAAAAATTCGTGGATCTCTACAGCATGCCGATTCTCGAAAATGTAAGAGCATTCATTATTTATTACACCTCAAAATTGCTTCTTATTTATTATACATGTTTATCTATTGAAATTTATTGAAATTCGGAACAGCTGCTTGAAAGCTTTGAGACGTCGTATCCGACACTGAAGTTTCCTCCTTTGCCGAATAGAGGAGACTTCCTTCTTGAACAAGTTATCGAATCACCATACTTCTTCAACTGACTTTAAAAAATAAAAATTGGAAAAAATCTTACGAGATGCGGAAAATTGTTTAAACGTTTTCTGCGGGAGATCAAGACGGAGGCACGGGACAATTCTCAGGCAGTAAAGTAAAATTAGAATGGATAGTATTACAGTTGTAATTGGGATTAAAGTGTACACACTGTCTGTATATATGTACAGTGAGTGCAGTATTTTTTGGTGTATAGTTTATATTGCAAGAAATCTATGGGTTTTGTTTGTATGTTTATATTATTTTTAAATATTTTTTGATGAGGACCTATATATGTCAAATGAAACTTGAGAGGGTATTTTGGTAATATGGTTATGTAAAAGGTTTTTTGAAATAAAAATAAATTAATAGGTTGATATTTAGTAATATTTGGTTTGAAGAGTCGCAATCACAATAGGTTGATATTTAATAATATTTATGTAAGTTGGTTTTAAATAGAAAACAAAAACAAAAAATAAATAAAATGTAGTAATATTTATTAGGGACTATTAGCCATAACCCCTCTAGTGTTTTTTAATAGGGGGGATCCAGCCATATTTTCAATATTAGTAGAAAACCCACTATTTTAATGATTTCCGAAAATAGTCTTCTGAAGACACACATCACAAAATCCGGAAATTTGAGATCCCTACAATCGTGTGTGATTGATTATATCCCAAAAAAAGATCCCTACAATCGTGTGTGATTGATTATATCCTAAAAAAATCGCTTTCCAAATCTTTCCATAAACTGTCATCTGCAAACTATAATTTTTTTTTATATAATTTAAATAAATTTAAATTTTCATTTTTTTTTATTATTTTATTTAAAAACTAACAATAATAGCTTTAAAAAAATATTTTTCTTTTAATTTGTTATTTAAAAAATATTTTAATTTTTTTTAATTTTTTAATTTCAGTTTTTTTGTTAATCAACTATAAAGATTCCTAAACCAACTATAATATTTCCGAAATCGACTATAATTTTGATTTTTTTTCTTTCATTTTTCTTAATTTTAATTTTCAGTTATTTTTGGAATTAGAAAACAACTATTTCTTTTCCATTTTTTAATAAAAAACATATATTAATTGTAAAACAACTATTCGAAAAACTACAAAAATCTATCGAAAATAACTAAAAATAGCAGAATAACGAAAACAACTAAAACAAATAGTCGAATAAGGAAATCAACTATAAAAATAGCAGAATAGCGAAAACTACTATAAATATAAAAGAATAGCAAAAACAACTATTTTCTGGGAAAGATAATCATCATCAAAAGCATCACAAGAAAATAAATATTAAAAAAAAAAAGCCGGCTGCGGGGTGGAAGGGGCAAGATGCGGCGGCGGCTGGGTCACCAGATCCGGTGGCGAAGACGATGGGTAGAGATAGATAGGGATTTATGCGTTTTTGTTCTTGTCTTATACCACTGTATCGAAAATTATAGCAACGATGGCAACGACAACAACACCGAGATCTCCAGATCCGGCGGTGAAGACGAGATTTTTTTGAGAATGTTTCGTCATCGGAGTGCTGGGTAGATTGAGTGAATTTTTCACCATCACGGCGTTGAGAATCGGCTTTTGGCTGCGTCGGTCGGAGATGGCGACAATGAAATTTCTCATCCGCTCATTGCACTTATTTTGGACAGTCTGGTTAGTTCCTCGGCGGAGCGGCTCAACGACTTCGTTAGTAAAGAGACGGCGGCGAGCAGTGGGAGAAGGGAGAACTTGGCGGCATCAGATCTGAGGTGGAAGGGGGAGATCTCGGCGACGGGGCTGAGATGAAAGGGGAGAGAAGGCGGCGTAGAGAGAAAAGGGAGAGAAGAAGAAGAAATACAATTGAACGTGATAGGGTTTGGCAATTTGAATCACACGATGATTGAGAGATGAGGCGGTTATGGAATATGCCGATATATCGTGATCTCAAAGATTTTCTTCAAATCACGTGTTTAAAATAAATTAATTACACAAGGGTGAAAATGTAAATGTCAATTATGAATTTATTCATAAAAATTCGAATTTAATACATGAGTGGGTTTTGACTAATTATGAAAAGGGGGTTATATCCACCCTAATATATGTAAATGATGTGGGGGGTTTTCACTAATTATCCCTATTTATTAATCACAATAGGTTGATATTTAGTAATATTTATCTAAGTTGGTTTTAAATAGAAAACAAAAACAAAAGATAAATAAAATGTAGTAATATTTATGTGAGTTGGTTCTAGTTGGGAAATAAAAATAGATTAATAAGTTGATATTTAGTAATATTTATGTAAGTTGGTTTTAAATACGGAAAAAAAATTAAAAAAAACCACGAAACTAATCTAATCCTACCATACGTACTCTTGTTCCATTAATAAATATATCTATAGACTAGTTTAGAAATATTTTACGCATATTTATTTTGTTAGCAATAGTTTACGTATTTATTTTGTTTTGGATGTTCGTAATGGAAATTGTTGAATCGGTTCATAGAATCTTCGACGTCAAATAAGAGAACGGCTTGTTCCGGGTATCAGAGTTTAACCTTCGACGTCAAATAAGAACAACCCCAACTGCGACAACCCAACTGCGACGGCTTGTTCCGGGTATCAGAGTTTTGAAGATCGAAATGATGACCAGTGTTTAGATGTCTTGGATTTGTTGGATGATTACAAATGAAGTCCATACTCCTATTTATCCCAGACCACCTCCTTAATGAACGGTGGAGATCTATTTGATCTAACAGATTATCTACAAAGTCAGGTTTCCTACAAGATATCTAGAAAGTCGGTGGAGATCTATTTGATCTAACGGATTATCTACAAAGTCAGGTTTCCTACAAAGTCAAGTTCTAGAAGGTTTTCTAGAATCCTCCAAAAATCTCTACCATTCTATATACACTTGTACCAACTTGGGTCTATCGTATTTGAGCTAAGTTTTGCACATTTAATCTCTCACCTAAGGGAAACTGGCAAAGTGTTGGACCAAAACTGGCGGACCGTGATGTGCAGCTCGCGAAGAATTTGGAACTACAACGCGTTGAGATTAATTCAGTCCGATTCGAGTTAGATCCAATTAAACCTTTTTTCGTGTTTTTAATTTACAGATTTTTGGTTTCTTTAAGTAGTGTACAGTGTATTTAGTTAAGGGGATAATTAACTCTTTAAGTAGTGTACTAATTATTTATTACAGGCGCATGAGTCAAATTAAATGGTCCGAATGCAATTACTCAAATTAAACAAAATTACCTTATTGGAAAATTGGCCAACTGCCCAACATATTGTGTGTGACAATAGTCAATCCATGAACTAAGCTCGATTAAATCATGATGATGTGTGGATGACCTTGATAGATATAAGAGGAACAAGAGGTAGGTTTTTTGCATGCTGAGTAGATAATCCAGCCACTCAAAGAAAGACTTGCGGTTACCCATTTAACAAAATCAAAGTACGTGAACTAAGTCGGGGGTTGATCCGTCGAAAACTCCTCCGATGCTCAAGTCAGATGCTTGCACAGAGAATAGAGTAGAGAACAAGAGATCAGTAGCACTCAGTCGCACGTACAAACCACGAGTGCATCACACATCGAGCTCGTAGGGTCCTTTTTAACTTTAACTAATTTTCAAAGGGGTTATGTGTTTATATTTTTAACACGGGGCATTTGTGCCATTAAATTTGTCCACACATGTCGTCAATTCCCCTTTCTTTTCTAGTAACAAATGAAACCACAGTTAAACATCTATAAATCAATACAATTGCACTAGGGAATTTCTATTAATTTAGCGAAATATTAAAAAAATAAATTAATAATTTAACATATTCTCATCGAGCCGGAACTATAAAAAAATATTATTTAAACGATGTCATTAATATATCGAAGTTCTACTATGTATACATTTTCTATTCGTTGTGGGTAAGGGCCTACTTAGTTGAGGGCATAATAAACTCTTGAAGTAGGTTACTAATTATTTATTACATAGGCATGAGTCAAATAAAATGGTCCAATCCAATTACTCAAAATAAACAAACTTTTATTGGAAAAGTAGCCAACTGCCCAACATATTGTGTGTGTGACAATAGTCAATGTCCCTCTACTTCAACATTCATTATATTTTCTATTACAAACTTTTCTTGTTTTTCGAACCATTTAATTAAATTTCTCTTCTTTTTTTTGTGTGTGTGGAGAGAGAGAGAGAGAGAGAGAGAGAGAGAGAGAGAGAGAGAGAGAGAGAGAGAGAGAGAGAGAGAGAGAGAGAGAGGTGGCCATGAATGCATGCATGGAGTTGATCACGTACTTGTGTGGGTATTCGAGCTGGCTTCTCTGTAAGTTGACAAAAAGGAAGTTGGAAAAAGTATTCAAAAGTAGAAAAGAAAGAAAGAAAAGAAGAAAAATTAGTTGGGAAGAGTATATAATTATGCTTGTAATTAATAGGGAGTTGGGGGTGTAGTTTGATTAATTGGGTTATAAAATCTGGAATTGTTGAGTTAACTCTCTGTAGTACTTTTTTCATACAATAATTCAATTGTTCATTGTAAGAAATATAATGCAGACCATAAAAATGGGGTTTTTGGGGGTAGTGGTTTTGGTTTTGGTGGTGGGTTGTAATATTAATGTGGAGGGGAGGAAGTTTAATGGAGAATTAGTTGATAAAAAGAAAGAAGCGGAAGGGTTTGTTGATGGGGGTGGGTTGAGTTTTGGGCGGTCGTTTAGTTGGGGGAATGGGGGT